ACATGTTGCTTTCTAATGACAGGTCAGGCTAATATCGTAAGACTGTAATGGTGGTTCATCGTCTCAACTCATGACAAGCAGCCAGCAAGTGAGGTTTCCACCTGGGAATGAAGTTATAGCTTCTCTCAGTGATAATTTTGCCACACAATGACAGCCATATCCACACTGGGGGGGAAAAAAAGGCTCGTTGACGAAGCCGCTTGTCTCTGCTCTTCATCACATTCTTATTTACAGCAGGTGGGAAAAGTGGCCTTGTCACCAGATCCCACAGACAGGAACTGGGGCCGACAGATCGGTTTCACTGGCTGAAGCCACCATCACCTTCTGCTTCAGGCTACCGATTCACACAGCTGCCGTGGCAACAGTGGCATCCACAAATCAACATTTATCCCTCTATCTTTCACTGCTTTGTTTTTGTTTTATTTAAGAACACAATTATGCAATCAGGTTTACAAACAAATAGCATTCAACATTTATCTTTTGAGGTTTCAGACCTCTATTTGAGAGAAATGTCATGTTACTTTATGCCTGATGTAGCCTTAGCTCCGAAGAGTAAAATTTTGACGTGTTCAGACGCGATCTCGTTTTTGAGGCTAAAATAGGATTAAACCTAAATCAGGGCGGAGAAGCTAAGCATGATGTGGCAAAGATAAAGAGCCACATGGCATTTCAACTGCTGTGCTGTTGTTTTTTTTAATCACATAATTCCTTCCAAAAGTATTCATTAAACTTTATTTTTCACATTAGAAACACAAACTTCAATGTCATCAATTCAATGATATTTGCATCATTCAATACCATTCATATTTGTTATGATGGACCAGCGCAAAGAAGTCCAGAATTGTGAACTGGAAGCATGGTTCTCCCGCCTCCATTTTCACAATCACAAAGGGGTTGATTTGGGAGAATTTGTGTAATGTCAATGTCAAATTTATTTACATAGCACATTTAAAAACAACACTTGATCAAAGTGCTTTTCACTAACAATCATAAATCAAAAGATGGAATAAAATTGTTATAAAAAATACCAGCAAAATCATACATTTTAAGTCTATTATTCCATATTTAGTAGAGGTTATCATTCACCAGTGACCTAAAAAGCGCCGTCAGAAAGTATTGTATAAATTTCAAAATTTTTAGTAAGATATGTCGTTATCGTAGAAATTTAGGTTTTATTAAAAATTGTTGATCCTCCTTATAAGTTAAAGAACCTGTGAGTAGGTTCAGGCTTCAAGTGTTTAAATATTGTTTGTGTATTGTGCTTTTTCTTCTTGTCAGCCTTCGCAAAATTTGATGTCCAAGATTTCAAGACAGTAAATGTCCCCTTTTTATTTATTCAAAATGAGTGATCCTAGTTTAATTTAAGGGCAGAGCCAGGAAGGAGTTATTCAAAAAAGACAAAAACAGAATGAATAAGTGAAATAATTAATGTTGCAACTTATCAAGGATTCTCATAAATTTATACATAACATTTATGCATATGCCATTATCTGACAAAGGTGGAATCCAATTTATGAGTGGCCATTGCCCCCCTTTGCCCATCCCATGGTGACGCCACTGCTAGAAAAAAGTGAAAAAGGATAGTTTTTTGGCTTGCCGATATCTTACTCTTATTCTTCTGGAAATAAACTAGAATAAGCTATTTAAGTCCTACGAATAATTTTAACTGAAACTGCAGCATTAATGGTTTAGGAGACGATGGTTTAGGATGTGCTCTGCAGGCCCGTTAGTTAACCAGGTTTATTGATGGAGCTCAGAATAAACCGTCTGCAGTGATCTTTGGAGCAGCAACCCACCCCAGGCCGACCTGTTGTTGACTTACCAGATTTCGGCGGATAACGATACACCGAATTGGACGGAATATCCACTTCTTCCACGCCTATGTTCTGTCTGCTTGTTAAAGCTCCCATTTCCAGTCAAATAAAGACCACACGGCCGAACGGGCATAACACTTCAGGGTCGCTTTGTGCGCTGCGGCTCTTTATTCGCTATCATTTAATCCAGTTCGTGCGGCCCCTGTTCATTTCTGTCGGCTCCGAGCCTCCGCCGTGAATGTGACCGTCCCGGGGATTAGTATAGTTGTTGTCTGGCTGCTTATCCCTTCTCTCTCTCTTTTTTTCTCTCTCTCTCGCTCCCAGGGTATGAGTGTTTTTTTCTCTATCCCTCTCTCTCTCTAACGAAAAAATAAATAAATAAAATAGAGGTAGCAGTCTCTTTAACAGATGGGAAGCGCTCTCATGGTGGACCAAAGCCAAAATCTCCGAGCCTAGATCGCTTCTTCACCGGACAGTGTGTGGCAAAGAGTCGCTCTTCGACACCTCCGGCCCGGCTGAACGGTGATGATCATGTATCCTCCCCCCAACACACACACACTTCTTCCATCGGTGCTTGGCGTTGCTCGGTCCTGTCAGAGAGCCCTGTGGATCCCCATGACGTCACGCAGGCACAAATCCTGACCGTGGGTTTTTTTTTTTTGCGCAGTCCCCCCTTTCTCTCTAGCAGCAGCTAGCGGCTAACGGCTGCTGCACTGCAGTAGGTGGCTCCGTGCCTAAAAACAGATGAGAGACGTTTAAAGCTCTCTAATCTAAGCCATCTGATCTTAAAACAAGAACAATAAGATAATTCAAAGCGCTTAGTTTTGCCAAACAATGAATTAAAAGACGCTAAAAATAGATGTCGTTTATAAAAAAGAAAAACTCCTGAGCTGCAGGTAGACGATGATCTCGATCGCTTTTATCTAGCTAAGTAAAACAAAGGCTCCGTAGAAATAGAGATCTACGGTTGTGGTTTACAATGGACTCCTGCTCAACAGAGGGCAATGTAACGGTTACAAGCAGTAAAGCACCAAAGGGTTAGCTGAATAGCCAATCAGAAGAGGCTAACACGGAGGAGCGTCGTTGCTGGTTAGTAACGATACGTCAGCGCGTCCACCATGTTATGAGTGGCAACTTCGTCTTGAGAGGTAGCAAAAAAGAAAATAAGTGTTTTCTCAATTGAAAAAAAAAACACACCAAATATTAAAATTAATTCAAATGAATTAATGAGTGATTGTTGAAACTTTAAGTCAATCCAAAAGAGGGCAATTAAGTGGACTGTACGCAGAGCCTTTTAGGGGTACCCTGGGTATAATTTACCATGCAGTCCTGCCTGCTCCAACACACCTGAATCAAATGAGTGAAATCCCTCATGAGCACGTCACTCAACTCCACAGAGCCCAAGTAATGAACCATTTATTCGAATTAGCGATGATGTAGAAGAGATGGATCGAGAGGTTGCAGGATCATAGCTCTCAAGGACAAGAGTTAGACGTTACTTTTATTTTAGGACATTACATGTAGTTTATGATTTGAACACTAGTGCTGTTAAAGATATGAAGATCTTTACTTAAAATGTTAAATGTAAGATAGTGTGATCATTACAGATGAATAAAACATGGACATTTCCATGTAATACACAGTGCATGCACTCAATACTTATCCGCAGAGTTTGCTAGAATTGCAGCATCAATAGGGCATTGCATCAAGGTGATTATCCGAGGGTGCTTTTCAGTGACCTTCATCTTGTCAGCATTGTTGGGTCTGGTGTCATCTTCCTCTTCACAGTACACTATGGGGTTCTATTCAGGCCTGGGACCACTGAGTAACTGTCCAGCTTCTGTCAGCATTTTACATGAACTGAAAAACAAAACAAACAAGCAAAAAAGGAGCTTTTGAGAATGCCTATGATTCTGGAGTGGCCAACCTCCAAACATTCCTGCCCCCCTAAAAACACCTGTAAAATGCATAGATGCAGTTCTTCAATTCTTTGAAGCATACGCAGCAGCTTGATCTCTCTGTGTGAAGGTAACACTGAATATTTAACATGTTAAGTGGTACTTGATTCACATGGTGAATCAAGTACAAGGTGAATTTAATTGGATATGGAGGTGAATTTAATTGGATATGATGAATTTAATTGGTTATGGAAAGAGCGTAGACCAGCACTATTGATTGAAATAGGTGTCAATCAAAAGAAAAGAAGCTGATGGCCATTTTGGCTTAATGATGTGGATGCAACAGTTACACCCCAAAGACCTGGATACAGCTTCCTGTGGTTCTTGAACCATAATCTAGACTGCGGTTAACTGCTGTTTTGTATGCTCTTTTTTGCTACCCCACTTTTTCCTTTCTCTCAACTTTCCATTGTCATTTTTTATTATGTGTCTTTACCAATGTGCTTTTGTGGTTTAAAATGGATTTGAAAAAGCATAATTCATTTGTCCTATAAAGGTCAGTGACCATACCACACAGGCAAAGTTTAAAACATTTTAATAAAATCATATCGACTTCTTGGGAATAACTCGATAATTAACTCCTAAATGACTAGAAGTCGCTACAGTGGACAGATAATCAAAAACCGTTAATCTTGGATCTGAGTGTGTTGATAATTTCTTTGCATGTAAACCACTTCATTGGAATCTAATATACTGATTCCTACACTGTCACCTAGTGGTCTATAAGTGTAAGTTCACAAAAATCAATAAAAACCAAAACTTACTTGGTCATTTTTTCTGTATGGGAACCTTTTAGGTAAATCTGGTAAGTTCAGACAGATGTAATTCTAAAAGTAATTAATTTTATGTAAGTAGGACATCTAAACTTATAAATATTCATTAAAACATCATTCACCACATTTAAACCTACTTTACTAGAAATGGCAGGAGTTAGTAAAAGGCTTAACTTCTTTTATTTAAGTATAAAATAGGAAGCATAAGGAATGAAATACCATTGTAGTTGTGTAGTCATTAAAACTAAATAATAATAAAGTAACAGAATGGGAAAGGATACACAGGAAAATCGAAAAAGGGCTAAATTGACTAAACTAAATTACTTCAGACAAAACAAAGCGGTACACTTCTACGGTTTATGTTATGCACTCCTAGTCAACAGGGGGCAGTGTAATAATTACACAGAAAGGGGCGGATTGCTAAATAGCCAATCAGAGGAGGCCAACACGGGCGCAAAGAAAAAAGGAAAAGGAAGCTGCACTGCCGCCATTTCACGTGAAAAGCAGCGCGGTTAGACAACCACCGAGTGGTTGTATTTTCATAACTTAGATTGATTTGGCGGAGGTTAACCTTCTTGCCATTTTGAAGTCAAAAATATTTTTTATTAGGCTATAGAGGCCTCACAGTTTCAGTCTTAGGAGCTTCGCTTCGTTGCTTGGAAACGACCAAGAAAAATGAGTTACGGTAGGCCGCCGCCAGACGTCGAAGGGATGACCTCCCTCAAAGTGGACAACCTGACTTACAGAACTTCTCCCGAAACTCTCCGACGAGTTTTTGAGAAGTATGGTCGGGTGGGGGACGTGTACATTCCCCGGGACCGGTACACCAAAGAGAGCCGCGGTTTCGCCTTCGTGCGTTTCCTCGACAAGCGCGACGCTGAAGACGCAATGGACGCCATGGATGGCGCGCTGCTCGACGGGCGCGAGCTGCGGGTTCAGATGGCCCGCTACGGACGGCCGCCGGACTCGATGTACAGCCGGAGAGGGGCTCCACCGCGCAGGTACGGAGGCTACGGACGAAGAAGCAGGAGGTAATTTTGAATATAGGTGTAGCATAATGTTTTTGTTGTACATGTGCTCGAATGGGCACGTGGTCACAGAGCTTAGAGCAGCGTGGTTCCAAGTTTTTTTTTCCAGTAGGTTCATAAAAACAATTATATCGAGAGCATATAAAATGGTTTTAACATGCTTCAAAGCATTTTAAATTAATTTATATTATATTGAAAGATTAGGCTTTAATATCATATTTTCCTTTTATTATAATAACTGTATCTTAGAAAAAAGCTTACTTCTGAAAAGAGTAGGGACAAGATTATTTTAACAATAAATTGTATTTAAACACTAAATAGTTACTGTTGTAGCATTTATGATGGAATTTTTTTTGTCTTCCTTCCTGCAAAAGGTGTAGCTGCCAGATTGCAGCATTGCTGCTTTTCTGTTGCTGTTTGGTTTCACTTTTTTATGCCTTGTCATTTTGTGTGCGTCTACAGTCGCTCAACTAGTCCCCGCCGTCGCAGACGAAGCCGCAGCCGCTCCAGGAGCAGAAGCCGTTCGCGATCCAGGAGCCGTAACCGTTACAGCCGCTCCAGGTCTCGTTCCTACTCCAGGTCCAGATCGAGGTCCAGGTCCAAGTCGAAGTCCAAATCCAAGTCCAGAACGCCGAGGCGGAGCAAGTCGAAGTCTCCTTCCAGATCACGGTCTCGCTCCAGATCCAAATCCCGTTCCAGGTCCAAGTCCAAGTCGAGGAGTCGAACCCCGGGTTCCAACAGGGGGTCAAAGTCCCGATCCAGGTCTAAGTCCAAGAGTGGACCTAAATCACCAGGAAACAACGAAGCAGAGCCTTAACCCAAATGTGGACGCAATATGACGGTATTCAGGGGAAGGGTTGATTTATTTTATTCTTTATCTATTGAAATGTTGTTTATTTCTTAAATTTGTGTTCTGCAGGCTTTACGCTTCACGCAAGTGGCAAAGTCTGCAGAATGCTGTTAGAACTTTGTTAAATGTCTAGTATTAGCTTTGTGTGTGCTTTATTTTGAAACTTTATTTCCCAGCCAATTTAAAGTACACACAGGCAGTAGGAGATTTGGTTTAAAAAGCATCATGATAAAAATGGGGTGCTCACATTTGTATTGATGTTTGGGCTGGGAGGCGGGTGGTTGGGATGTGGGATGCTTACTCAAACCGTTCACCTAAATGTGGAATTCTTTCCTCCAAGCTGCTGAGTCCTGTTTGCAAAGAGAGGAGGAGGAGATGGGGGTGTTGCAGTGTGAGAGCAGTTAGTGTGTGACCCGCCCATGTGACCTGCCTGTTGCTGAGAGCCATTGCAGTTGCTAAGGAGCAGGTCACCGAGGCAACGGTGGTTGCTATGAAGCAGGTCGTCATGGCGGTGGTTCGGGCTGTCAATTGGTGTATGAGGTGGTGTGGTGAGGTACGTTCTCGCGGGGCACACAGGCAGATGCACTGAGCAGTTTACCCACCTGTGCCTGTGGTTTCCGCCGCCTCACATAAAGGGAGCCGACCCCGAGGTTTGTTTTTCCCAATATGCCCGGGTGCAAGACCCTTGTTAGAGCTAGTGTGGGAAGAATTGGGGCCAGGAAACATGTAAAATAAGGAAGTGAGTTATTGAGTAAAATGTTTACCTAGGATTTCTTAACTGTCAGGACAGAGATCATGCAATAAATATTCAGATCAGCTGCAGGAATTGATACCAGCGTCTATTTTTTGCTCTTGGTGACTTAAGTTCTGTTTTTCCTTCCAGATCTTGCATTGAGCCTTTGAGGACATCCGGAACAGCCTCACTTTTTGGCAAGAATACTCCACTATTACCACTGAATGCAGACTGAAAGGTTAATTGGATATTGGTCTAAAATGTTTTAAATGTTTAAGTTCCTTTGTAATCTGAGACAAATTCTGTAACTTTGACATCATTTGTAAAGCTGAGTATATTGAAAGGGATTTATGGGGTATTTTTTAATTTGCCGTTTTGGGGTGGGCTTTTTCATTGAATTTGTAATAAATTCCTCTGAAACAAAATATAATTTTCAGCAGGCTCTGTTCATTTTTGAATATGAAACTTATTTGAAAAGTTGATGTAGGAAATGATGTCTCTTTGTTTGCAGTATTTACAGCTGTATTGCCACTCATACTGGGGGAGGGAAATGGCTTAGTGTACAGTGACATAAAAGCCATTTAAATTTGTGATTTGCTTAATCCAGCAACATTTTGTTTCTGCTTTTTTTCTGTCTAGTTCAAGTTGCTTTCCTATGACTCTAACCTTCTTTCTTGTGTATCTTTTGTGCACTAGGCGCAGTTGTGTAGCAGTTGAGTAATGCTGGTTAGCTGTTAAGATGCGGTGCAGTGCGGTGGTGACATGGTGTGGCGTGTTGCGGTGCTGAGTGCCCGGTGCAGTTCCGGGGCTCGACCCTTCGCTGCCGTTTGCCGGTTTGTAAGCTCACAGGTGTGGCAGATCATCCATCCTCTCCTGTCTGTGACCTCTACTTCCCTACATGTGCTGTACATATTGTCTTCTATCCTCTTCACCCTTCCTTCTCTTCTGTGTCCCAATGTCAACCTTCCTTCTGTGGTTTATCCACTGAATTGGTCTTGCTTGCTTTGAAAAAATAGCCCAGTGGGACGCCAAGAGAAGGGTTAAGGGGCAGTTAATGGCTTCTTAAGAAATCTTTTGAATCGCATTCTGTGTACCTCAAATGTCTTGTAACTGCATCAAATGAATGCCAATAAAGGTTTTTGTTGGAATTGAATATGTCTAACTTTGTGCTCAATGTCTTTGTTGGTGTAACTTGTTAAATATGAATGATTCTCGACATATTTTAGCTTGTATAAAGTACTAGTTATATGTAATCTGCAATGTCCGTAAGAAATATTGAACAGTAATTTTTTCCCCCCAAACATTTCTTTTTTTAAATTGGTTTCCTAGAGTCTTGAGGAAGAGTGGGGGAGGCATAGGATCCAAGATGGTTGAAGTCTCTGATGTGTTGCTCATTTGTGTTTTCTGAAGTCCAAAATCAGTGCAGGTCTACAAAACTTTGTAGTACTTTTGAGTCGGTACATCCATTTGAAAGTTTTGAAACGCTACATGCTGCCCTCTGCTGGTGAGCTTTATGTAAATGCCAGATGTATCGATGCCTGATTTTAATACCGCAGCATCTCTGCTTGATTGGGCTCCAAATTCACCCTGACAATAAAAATCAAAAAAATTATAAGATGAGGTACCAAACCCAACTCTGCTGAAGTCTGACTTCCTTGACAATTCAGCAGAAACAGACTAGAGGTGTCAGTGCAATTCAGGATTTGCAAACAAATCCTGAATGAATACTGATTAAAAAAAGCTTTTCAGTGATATCCTAACTTATTGAGATGCACTTGTATTTCAGAGCTGGAATTTAAAGGCAGGGAAAGTACAATCATTGACTTCCTCACAGGAAAACAACATGAACACTTCTTCCATGAAAGAGTTCAACTGTTAATCAGCAACTCACACCACTGTTAACTGTTTATTCATGAAAGGAAGCTGTATATCACTGCCTTACTGTTAGCAGAGTTCACAGAGCTGCTGTAAAATAATAAACCATCTCAGGGGAACTCTTAGTCCTGCATTTACTTTTCTGTTTAGAAGGATTTTATTTTTTGTTGCAAACTAGAGTTGAAAATTACAGCAGTGTTTTATGTCTGTTTTTAAATTCTGGCTGTTCTCTTCAGAAAGGACGTTTTATGGCTTATAAATTGTACCTAGATTTATAATTACAATTGCACCAAATCTAACCTAAATTTCACTAATAAGATCTAATGCAGCTTTTGTTAAAATGACCAAACCTGAAAGCATTGAGCCAAAAATGAAGCAATTTGAGGTGACTTGAATTGGTGAGGCACCAATTTTTATTGTCAATTAAAAAATACTCAAGTTACAACAAAATTTAAATTTTATAGAAAACTAAAATAACAAAAAATATGTTGCGATATGTAGACACATTCAATAAATCAGTTAAAATCATAAGTAGGTGCTCCAAAGTCTACTCTTTAGTAAAAGTCATTGGATAGATGTAGTCCTTTAGCTATGGACAATGCAAATACTGTGGTTTTTAAATGCTAATTCTTTGTGTTGCAACATTGCAACATTTTTCATTGTAAGAAAATGTTAATTTGTCTGCAATAATTTTAACGTAAGCAAAAATGCAAAAGCCTAGCTGTAGAAAATGATATATATGATTTCAGTGTGTAGCATTGTGATATATAGCTGTCCTGGATGAAAACTGTTCCAAGAGGTTGAAATCATAATGTCATTGAGTTGCAATTGCAATAATATAATTAATTGGCCTAAACTGGAATAAATGTAAATCTGATTTTGTTGGAATCAACTGTAATTGGCTTGAACTGGAAACAATTCAGCATTTTTTCAACCTGAATCTGATTGAGTATGAATTTGCCTGAACCAGAATGCAGACTTTATTTGAATCTGATTGTGTCGGCCCAAACTAGGTACAGAGTGGTTATAGTTAGGGTTTTCTAAAATCAACTGATATGTTCCATTATATTGTTCCTGCTGTTTAAAGTCTCTTCAAAAATGGTAAAAGAGGTATTTTCTTTTTACTGGAGAACAAAGTGACACAGCACCTCCCTTTATACACCTGCTGATGTGAACTTTTGGGTTGCCTTGCTGAAAAAAAGTCTCCAGGGCTTATAAAAAGATAAATTTGCTGACTTAAAAAAGATGTGTCGTGGTGAAAACAATGGACAAAATGTATGTGTTTTCTCAGATTCCCTCCTACCTGTGGATTAGGCCTTAGTACTGTTGCCTCTTGCATCCAGACAGTGTACTCCACCATAATGTAAGGTTGTTTGTATTGGTTTTCTGTTTTGTGAGAAAGCACAACAGGTTCAAGGTGTTGACTTGACCTCCAATTCCCCCCACATCTCAATCCAATCAAAGCCTCTGTGGGATGTACCGGGTAATCAAATCCGTTCCATCGAGGTGCAATACAACTCGCAAGATTTAAAAGTTGCAGCACACCTCAAAATGTCAATGGGTCACAGCTGTTTCAGCAGCATATTTATGCAGGTAGCCTAGTCATGATATCTACCCTGATGGTGTTTTTCCCGGTATCCTCCTTTAACTTCAGGTGTCGACCAGAAGGTAAGAGTGTTTTCCCTTCAGCTGACAGCTTTACTTTATCAGCCTACACCTCCAGTACACGAGTTCTGTCAGAAACCATTTGGGTCTGCCAGTTTGTCCTGCTGATGGGATTATCTGCAGACGCAGAGCCGAGCACGTTGCACTGCTTCGTGCCAGTCCAACTGCCCGGTCCAACCGCCGGTAGTCCGCAGACGGAGAGGGCGGGGTTAGGAGTGGGGGCTGCAACCAGAGGATGTGACGTTCTGGTTGGAGAGAAGATTGGGAGATTGTCCCGTATCCGATAAACTGCGGCCGTTGCCGTTGATGTTTGACGGTGGGGGATTATCGCTAGCAAGCGGGATGGCCGAGTGAGTGGACGCCGGGGCGGCGACGCAACAAGAATCACAAGAATGGAGGCAACTCTCGTATTGGCCGCTATCATTTTCACGCTGCTCGCCATGGTGGTCGCGACGTCGCTGCTCAAAGGCTCGTCACCCGCGGCGGACTTCGCGAATGCGCGAAGTTACTTCGGCCAGAGAGGAGACGGAGGATCAGCGGCGTCCGAGGCGAAGCTGAACGGCCATGTAGCCGGGCAGGGGAGGAAGACGGAAGCCGACAACTGGAGTGAGATCAGTGGGAGCTCACACGACCACTGGGATGTAGTGAAATCTGTGAGTAGGTCTGGCATGCTGCAGGAAAGTGTTTTGTTTGCTTTAGTGTTTTGCGTAATTCCCCCTTAATCTGTTTTAAGTACTCAGATAGTGTCTGGATGTACAACAGCCCGGAGGAGCTCTAGATCCACAAATAAAGGTTAACTAAAGCGCAATGTATAGATGCAACTTACTACATTAGAATATTATTGAATAGATGTTTCTTTTTGTGAATAAATTTGGAATATTTAGTTTACACACACAGTGTAGTATTGGGCCAGACTTTAGAAAGGGCTTACAGAGTAATTAACCTATATATATACATTTTTATTTTTAACAATATAAACAATATTGACATTTTTGAAAATTATGAAGTTATAGTAATTTTTGGCAAACAATTTACCATGCACCAATTCATGTATAAGACTACCTGTTAATTTATTGTAATTTGCATTAGAATATTTTTTTTGTAATGGAAAGGACACCCAAACTGGCTCCCTAAGTCCACAGATTTGTGGACCACAAAGATGTGTGAATGAAGATGGGTGATGTAACACTATGGTAGGAGACTAAGCTAAAACAAAAATGATAAAGAAGTAATTTTTTTTTATATTTTATGGGAAGTTGTGTGGAAGAAAAAGCTGTGTGAGAGGAATATGAAGCAAAGTCCATTCAAGAGTATTGAGGAGATTTACTAGGTGTGAACTGCAGCTGAAGTCGGGGATTCAAGAGCCACCACACAGATGTATCCAGGTCATGTTCTGCAACTGTCAAGAGTTTTTGTGTCAAGCGAACCAGGGAAGTCGTCAAAGCATCTTGGCTGTTCTAATTGTTGCTCAGTGGACTAAAATCCTCTGTTTACTGCATCATTTGGACATCAAGATGCCAGAGACCGGAGGAAGAGTGGAGAGTTAAGTTGCTTGAGGTCCAGTGTGAAGCTTCCACAGTCTGTGATGAGTTACAGAACCATTTCATCTGTTGGTGTTGGTCCACTGTGTTTTATCAGGACCAAAGTCGGTGCCTCTGTCGTTTCCTCTGCTGGCAAGCTTTATGAAGATGCTGATTTTGTCCCTAACTTGAACTCCTTAGATAATCTGTTGAGAGGGATGATAGGCACCAGAGCCACCAATGCAGACAAGCTGAAGATTGCTATAAAATCAACCTGGCTCTTTAGCACATCAGAAGACTCTTAAAGCCTCCATGCTGCTTCACTGCGAAGATGCATTCATTCATCCAAAAGAAGCCCTGACCAAGTACTGAGTGGATATACAGTATAGACGCACTTTTCAGAAGGGTAACATGTTTTTATTAATGTACAAATATTAATAGAATACTTAACATTGATAAATACATGAACTGAATTTATGTAGTGTTTTCTAGTTGTGCTAGTCAAAGTGCTCTACACTAAAACTGCATTCAGTCAGTCCCAGTCATACGCTCATGTGCGACAGGGAAGGAAGCTGGATCTGAACAAACCACAATCGTGATTACTTCTATAATATTGGTTTAGATATTTTTTTATAATCCACAGCATCCAGAGGAACTACATGGAAAACATTTTTATTTTAAATATTTTATGCAACAAAAAACAGTTCCAAGCATCTCAGATTAAAAATTGTTGGTTTTATTTCATAAAAACAAATGACTGATATGGATGTAAGGAACAGACAGTATTCAACCTGGAAGTTGTGAAGAGAACTGTGCAACAGGACAGTACAATAGAAAGGGAACATATCTGTCAGACTTATAGACCGATGTATTTTGTTTAGTTTTGTCTTTATTTAGAAAGGTAACACCTGTGGGTATACCTCAGCTTCCACAGAGGCCGTCTCTGATTTGTGCTTACCATTCATAAATAGCCACAAAATGCCACGTGAAACTCGGTGAAACAACTTGCATACTTTAAGAACCTTTGCAAACTTAGCCACCTGGATCAGACGCAAAGAACAAGCAGAAAAAGTCACTATCTGATGAATTTAAGAGGTAGGTCATTTCTGACGTAATAATTCTCTGACAGGAGCAGGGACACCCGCACTTTCACGCAGAAGGCGGTGCAGCAGTCGAGTCCTCTTCCTCCACATCGAGCCTTTCTGTCCCCAGTTTAGAGGTAGACTCGTCGTCCGAGGTCTCGTCAGCGATGGGCCGCAGGTCTTTCATTGGGCTCTCTGATACGGAGCTCCTAAAGTGTGCTTTCTCTTATCCCCAGACTGAAGGAGCCACAGAGAGCCCAGGGGACAACGGTAAGCATTTTCACCTGAAATTCTTGCTACATTCTCATTTTAATGTTACCAAACAGGTAGGCAGGATTTATTTCCGTTTCATCAGCATGCACTCTTGTTTTCTGCTTGAACAGCGAAAGTGGAATCGGATGCAAATAATTCCTTGAAGTATGTTCCTGGAAAGGCACGATCGCACCATTTAGAGGTGATGATGTCCAAAGAAGAGCTGGCAGAGGAGCAGAGGTTAGTGAAAAACTTTTAGAAGAATATACACTTTTCTTATATGACCCATGATGCTTTGTGGATAAACAGCCTAATTACATGTAAACCAGAGATCTGCAGTTCCAGTCCTCAAGTCCCATTGTCCTGCAACTTTTGGATTCATTCCTGCGCCAATACATCTGAATCAAATAAATAGTAAATGAGCAGATTAAAGGTGTAATGTAGACTTTTCATTCTGTAATGTTGGATCTGGGATGCTACCAAAAGTAGCAGGACAGTGGCACTCGAGGACTGGCGCTGCATACCGAGCAAATTCAAATAAGACATGTGGGAACCTGAACTTCTAAAACTTAAACAGGATAATGTAATCACAACTGTGCGTTTATCTTTGAAAGACTGAGCTGAAGAAAAGGCTTTCTGTTATGGACATTAGCATCTAAGCATACTCTCATTTTTAGCAGCTTCTCCAACTTTGTTAATATAAATCAGATGCTTAAAACTCCTGTGGCGCATCAGAGCTTTTTCTGACACGGTCATGAAGTTTGTCGTGTTTTCTTTAATGAGGATGGGCATATTTTTATTCGCCTCACACTGGTGTTGTGCTCTGGTGTCATCGTCTGGAGAGACCCATAGTCTGGCTCTTTGAGTTTGCGACACCATATTGGTCTTTTCAGTCATGCAGCTGAGGCCGGTGGACCCTCAGGATTGAGAACCATCGTCTATAAGTTATGCATCATAAAATACAAACACTGCTTTACTCTATTTCTACTGAACGTCATAGCTCACATTCTTTTTCGGTCGTTTTCAGAAGGCAATTCTTCTTGGACCAACCACAAAAAATATTCCTCCCTGGACCATTTGTTGACAAAGTGATGGAGGCAAACATGCCAGCTTTAATAGTAACTTCCAATGTAATATTTTCTATCCTTGTTTGTATAATTCCTCATCTGGCCTGGGAACGCCTTGGGCTACCTAAGGAAAACAGAAGATAATGGATGGATAGAAACTGTGAACAAAGTCAAATTGCTAATTATAAAGTTGATTCTGATTCAACACACATCTGTTGTAGCCACAAGTTAACCTATAAGCAGTGGCATAATTTGTGGCTTCAGCCTTGCATAAAGCAGAAAAGTTGAAAAAAAAAAAATAAAATAATTAAATTACAAACTTTTTTACTTGTATAAAACTAATTGCTTTATTGCAATTTGTGCTCTCTCGCCAAAAGTTTCCCCTACAAGCAGTCCTATAGCAACATTTGACAAGATTAAGGTGGATAAAGAGACCAAAAGGTGTGAATATTTTACCCGTCAGATGTTTTCTCTCTGTTGAGTTTTGTACTGATGTGTGTACGACTCGACAGCCCGTCACTAGTTCTGATAACTGATCTGTAAAAAGAGAAAAAAATAATCCCAGTCTAAAACATATCTGTATAAACCCTACTCAAATACACTGAAACCAAACAAAAAGCTAAAAGATGCAATAAAACTTTCCATTAAAAGTCCATATGGTCAGATCTATCATTATCGCCAACATCAGCTCTGCAGCCATCTTCCATTTTGCTGCTTCACGTGTGACTCTGGACGGTGCACGTTTGTCTGGGCTCAGCTTTAGACGGACGAGAGTAAAGGTGAGACTGAGCCTCTGCTAAGCACCATTAGCTGTCTGACGGACAAATAACAGGAGATTTAAAAGAAACAAATCCAAGTGTTAAAGCGCTGCTTGAAGAAAACGCCAAAGTTGTTGGGATTTTTTTCTTTGTCTGAAGCATATCTGCATATCCTGCTCTTATCATTGCAGGAGTAAAAGCGACGCAGACGTTAAGTGTCTGTTAAGCTGAAAAAGGAGCAGATATGTGGTAAAGTATGAGTTATCCTCACCTAGTTGTCCTAAAAGAGTCCCTTTCTGGCCAGTGGGTGAAATCAACTAATTAGCAATTAGCCAATCTTGATCTCAGCAGTGATGTTTACCTCAGCAGCTCTTTATCCTCATGTGGCCATGAAGCGACTGGTGTGACAGTGTTGCTTATCTGATCCCACGTCTTCCTCCTGTTTTCCTCCATTAGAAGTGTGGTCCACAGGTGTGCCTCAGCAGGTGTTGATTGTTTCCCTTGTTGGGGTTTTCTTTGTTCCGCCACAAGAGGGGGTTAGAGTGTCACGACACGTTGGTCTTTTGGAGCTGTCCAGTCAAACGCAGAAGCGTTTAAAAAATAGATTAACATTGGAAAGTTCAGTTTTATTTCAGTAATTCAGAAAATAAATGAAAATTCATTCCAAATAGTGTTATATATTGCAAGTATACTTCTCTTAATTTTGATTAAAATGGTTTATAATGAACCTAAAATGAATTTTCCCCAGAAAATTAATTTGTATGTAAATATTTATATTGGAGAGTTTAGTGGAAGGAAGAACTGTGGTTAAAAAAATAAATAAAAATAGAGTGTTTCGGAAAGAGCTGGAGTCTGTGCTTTAAGAGTCATAACTTGCAGACATATCTAGGACTTTAGCTGAAACTGTTAGATTCCTCAAGTTAAGCCCTTTTGGAAGGAGAAATATTAGAGACATTATGCAAATTCTTAGAATAAAAGTAATTTTTATTGTATATAAACCTCTTTCCACCACAGTTCTACCTTTTACTCAACTTTCTGTTAATACTCAGCACTCTCTGAGCAGCCGGCTTCTTTTTTTTTTTTTGGCTTAAGCTTCTTGTGAAGCTTGTCATTGATAGTCTGCTTGTCCACTAAAAGTGTAGGCTTTAACATTTCTGGATAAAAAACAGTCTTCTTAATTGCATAATATAAAATTTTCTTTATTATTATTATTTTTAAGAAACTGAGTTTTGGGTTTTTATTAATCATGAGCCAGTGCCACAGATTTTCTGGGGCCCCCCTATGGATTACAATAAAATCCCCCTCCCCAAAAAAAAATCAACTGGGCACACGCATTGTTCAACCAGACATAAACTTATACGCATATTTTGTTTTCAAACTCCACTGAAGTTTATTTCACACTTCAGGTTGCAACAAAACACACTACAAACCGTCTTTACAATGAAACACTTTTGTGTAACTGTTTTTTCCATTCATCCATACTCCTTCCCCTGCAATGGCACTTTGTACTTTTTTTAAGTAGTTTGCAAAACCTGAACATTTACTTAAAGTATTTTAATGATATAAACTGAAATCAGGCTTGTCTGCTACTAAATCTGAGTAAATGTTTATCTCTCATTTAGTCAGCTGTAAACTTAATGCATCTCTGAGATTCCAGTGTGTCAATATGAACAGAGTGATTTTCCAAAATCAGCACTCACCTATAGCGGTACTCAAACTTCACTTCAGCAAGTAAAGATAACATTCACAAAATATAACACACATTTAAAACAGCCGAAATATTCTCAAAGTGTTACACGGGACCAAACCCTACATCAAAATCCCTTAGGAATAAAAATCTGAAAAGTGTGGAGTGCTTTTTTATTCAGCAACCCTTGGATTAAGACTTTGGAGAACATCATTTGCTGCAATTACAGCAAATGATGTAATTGCAGCAATTACATCATTTTGTAATTGCTGCAAAAGTACAGACTGAACCCAAGTCTGTTGGGTTCAGTCTGTACTATCTCCAAAGCTGGAGCTTTATGTCCAGTAAACATGTTTTCTTACCCAATCAGTATTGTAATAAGCAATAAATCAATGAATTGCATAAATTAAAACGAGTCTGATAATTTCCATTTGCATGTTGATTTGTTTTTCTTCTATCTCTCTCTACATTAGATGACAAAAGTCTCCATTTTATTTGTTGCTTTAGGTGTTTTGTTTATTTATTTTGGATATTTAAAATGTATTCCAGTTCCGGTGTTAATGTTCATTAGAAATTAAAGTTTATTGAGAGGATGTACTTACATGACTGATATTACTTGAAAATCAAAATCAAAATATAATTGTTTGTCGCAATAATTTCTGGGACAATTTATCGTCCAGCAAAACGTCATAACAGTGGATCTCTGCAGCTCCTCCAGAGCTAAAATGATTCCTCTCTGATTAATGGTCTACCTTTCATTGTAGCAAAGGCTCTGAAAATAGCTGCTTTATTTTGTTTTTTAAGATTGTAATTTAGGTTATTCATTTGTAGTCGCATCTTAAAACCATTTATCACTTTTCTTCTTCATTAAAATGACATAATTCTGTGTTGGTGTGTCACAAAAATCTCAATAAAATAAATGGAGGTTTGTGACTGTAATGCAATAAAATGTGAACGTCCTTTTGCAAGACGCTGTATACCGCAGTAGTACTTGTTTTCTTCAAATATAGATTCTGTTATTTTTTTCTGCATTTGGAGCACTACGCCTAAATTTTCCAGACCAGATACAAAGAAATCCTTGTGCAGGATCTCCTGTTTATTAGAAATTGCATTTATTACGTACCTGGAGAAGACTTTCTGAACATTTTACTCTGTGTCTGTTCCCCCAGGGTGCAACGGGAGCAGCTGGCCGCCATTTTCCAGCTGCTGAAAGACAACAAGGAGACATTCGGGAACATGTCTGAAGGAGACTTGGAGGAGCAGCTCAGACTCTACTCCATCTGAGACTCCTCCGCAACCTGATCTGCTCCAAAGACTTATTCAGGACTCCAAATATGTCATTTAATTTCCCTGAAGTATTCAACACGGCTGTCCGTTCCAACAACTGCTTATTGTTTTTAACTTGTATTAAACACACTCGCACGCCTGCACCGATCAGATAATTATGAAAAACACAATGGAGCATTGTTTCTATTAGTTCTATGAGTTTAACTTTCAAACTGTTGCATAATAAACCAGAACGTTGTATAAATTTGTGTGTGCCTATTCAGTTTCAGTCCAAGCTGTTTCTAGGAAAACTGCTGCTGTTGATTTCCTCTTTATTTAATGAAATTCCTGCCTTTGTTGCTTCTGCCACACTTGTTGGGCAGGTCTAAAAATATTTGAATATGAATTCAATTCTAAGAAAACGCTTCTGTTTTTGTGAAGCAGACCAGCCGAGGCAGAATATTTAGCAGCTCAGTTTCCTGCTACAGTGTGGCGTGCCATGTCAAAACTAATCCATTAGTAATTATCGCTTACAGAGCACAACCCTTTAAAAGAAAACTAATAAACTTGTGAACAAATATGTCAGAAAGAAATGATAAAACGGTTTTATTCAACTACTTACAGGGCATGCAGCTAAAGTAAATAATTTTCCATTCTTGAACTGGTCATTGGCATCAATGTATCCCAAATGTTCAAAAGGTTTAAAGACACAGAAATATTAATTAGATCCCACAGGGAGAGCAGAAGTGAACAGTCTGAATGGAGAATAGTGTCTCCGGTTGCTAGTTACCCACCTGTTACTGTGCAGTGCCGGTCAGCTGGCTGAAAGATCAACACTTATTTAGAACAGAATTGCTTCTATCTTCAAAGATTGATGGAGGAAACTTAAGCGAGCCTAACCCCAAGTCTGCAAGAATAAAAGGGTCTGAAAGATTTCTGGTGTCAAAACACGAGTGCCAAGAGTGTAGGCCGCTTTGCTAGGATCATATCTGTAAAGCAGCAGACTGCAGGCTGGCTACCAGAGCAGATAGCCTGACTAACTAATCCCCTATAAAATCAGTTTAGAGTAGTTGAGCTCAGTCTTTGAGAAATTCCCTTCCTGCCTCTTTGGTAAAGACGATCTATGCTGGATGATTATATTGCTTAAAATCATCATTACTTCTTAATTTCACCACATTATATAGCAACATTGCAACATCTAAGTCTTTTTTATGTTTCATAGTCTCATGACAGAAGCATGATTTATACAGTAACTCTGATCTACCAAACCTGATCCAGAAATGTTTATTATACAAAAGACAGACATGTTAGAGAATTATAACCACATGATTTATAAACCTTCAGATGAGGTAACGCAGTTCAGTCCTCCTCAGATGTTATAATTCAGAAAAGATGAAATACTTTGATTGATCAATACACCTCTATATTGATTATTTGTGTATAATTTAGCACCACGTTTGACTTGAACTTATTGGCATATATTTAACTTATATTATTCAGCCATTTATCACTGAATTTGTGAAAATATGTTTGCCTCTATGAATAATTTAAACCTTTTAAGAATTAAAGTGGAATATTAAATAATTATTCCACCCCTGAAGGGGAAAAGTTCAACTGAATACATGTAGTTTAAGTCTATAATTTAAGACATTTAAGCCTACATCTGGATGCAGCTGTTGTAAAACATGCTGTGATCAGCCTAACATGTTTCAGATACAAAATTAATGAGATTAATCATTTAAAACTTACTGGAAAACTACTGTGTTGCAAGTCTTATTATTCACTTATTATTTATTTCCATCCAGGAGGACTGAGTCTGAACTATTTTGCAAAGAAGAAGAAAAACATATCAATCAGTCTGTAGATGTGCAAATATAGATATAGACCCCAAATGACTGGTGGTTTTATAAATTATTGATGCCAAGGTTCCAGATGTATGTGCACAGAAGCTTTACATTGTATGCTCATATAAAATCCCTATGAAATGCAATAACATTTGTTGTTTGTAACATAGCAAAATGCAAAAGGACTTGATGCATAATTGGTATTATAATAATGCTTCTCCATAGTTCAAACCCTTGGATTTACATGATGTAATGTTTTGTTTGTCCAGAACATTTCTTTGCTCCTGGACAACAAATTCAAATATTTGCCTGTTCAATGCAGACAGAGTGTCATTTGATTTCTCACATTTTACTGTCTTATAAATATGAACACACCCCACCTGTCCACACATAGCAGGTGGACATGCAAAGCTGACCTGTCAATGAACAGATAAGCTTCTTTTTTCTGCTTTTCAGTCGTCCACACACTCCAAAGCTGTGTGTGAGCTCTGTGTATGTTTTTGGTGTTGCTGCTCTTTTCTCAGAAAACAGGTGCAGGACCTGTTCTGTCACTTCTGTTCCCACACATCATATCAGTTGCTTCAGGTCATCTCCGTAGGTTTTAATAAATTCCCCGCCCGGTGCCTGATACTACTTTACTTATCTGGCTCGCCTACAAAGGTGTGACTGAGGGCTCTCTTTTAAACGCAGGTGGCTTTTCATGGGAAACGTATTTTCTGAAAAGCAAAACCACTTCAGGATGCAAAAAAATTTTTTTTCCTTGGTGGTGGTGATGGCAGTGAGCTTTTTTCTTTTTATTCTTTCTTGGGAAAATTATAAAGGAGAATCAAAGTAAGTTTCTCCACTAGATTCCTCTGATGCCTTTTAACTATTTATTCAAATTACTTCCTCTCACCATTCTCTTTCTCTCTTTTTCTTAAAGTTGGAAAGTCTTCTCAAGAAAAGTACTACCTAGAGGTGAAGATACATTGATTCATGCTGTGCAAAGGATAAGAAAGCTGAGTCTGTTATCAGGTTTGCCAACAAAGATTGAGAGGAAAACCAATAAAAGCAACATTTACTCCCTAGGAAACGTTAAAACTCAAAGCAGAGGTCCTGAGAGCCCTGTCCCCATCATGAATTTAAGTTCCTTCAAAAAACTTCCTCAGTGGAGTTTTGAGGATATATACAATCTGGATGCTCCACTAATACCAACAGTGAGTATTTTTGTGGGATTGAACAGGAACCTCATGAGTTAACATTGGGGAGAATAGTGATCTGCTGCTGGCTGTGTCTTTATATGTTTGCTTTTCGGGTTAATCCGTTCCCTGTTTGCTTTTCACTTTGCAAGCGTTTCCAGTAGCTGATTAAGCTGCTGACTCCTGAGCTGTCTCTGTGTTGGGACTTAAAATCAAATTCTCATTTGATTTTAAGTACCAACTCCAAGTAAGTACCAAGTAAAGAGTTATCTTTAAATGTAGCTCTTTGTTTTGCATACTCAGACTTGTCCGCAGTCTCTGCGTAACTCAAAGGACGAGGACTTCCAGAAAGTTTTCCTTCCCAACATTTGCATGTTTCTGCACAAAGACAACTTCAACATCAGAGAGTGGAACCGGCTCTCGCACTTCAACGATCCTTTTGGTTTTATGGGATTGAAATATAGTGGTAGGTGGCTTTTTTTTTTTTTCATGTACATCCTTCAGGCATTTTTTTTACACTTTGTGAGTACCTGATTGGACCCCTTTCTGTCTTCAGAACCGTTTTAAGTCTTCCTGGTAAATATTCAACAAGCTGTAAAACATTTGCAGGAGAATTTGACACAGTTGTTGCAGATTTACTGGTTGCAGATCCATTATGTAAATCAGGAGTCTGCAGCCTGCAGGTCTTTGGACCGTGCAGTAAGTTTGGCTGAAAAATAAAAGAACCAGCTCATGTTTTAGATGCAGGTTCTTAACAGTTTTTTTCCTGCACTATTTGCACTGAATTTCCACAAAGAATGATACTAAAAGAACCAGCAATATCTTTTTAAATCTTATTCTTGTCATTTTTCATCCCACAGATGAAAAATGTTCTTCTTGCAACATTTTATGTTTATTTTTACTTTAAATCTTAAAAAATAGAGGTCAAATTTTGTTTGTTTGTTTAAAAATTATAATGAATTATAATTCAGTTTTCTAAATGGCACTATTCCTCTTCCTTAAATGTTTCTCAAACCATTATCCCTTCAGAATTTAAAATTAGTAGATATTTATGTAAATTTATTAGATGTTTGAAGAATGAAAATATTGTGACATTTTAACTTTTTTTTTTTTTTTTGGCCAAACCTCTCACTAGATGATAAAGGTGGCAGACCCCTGATCTTTGCTAAAATCTGGAAACTGTGGAGATTATTAGAGAATCATTAATTAATGTCAAGTTCAAGAAACCTGAGCTTTAATATGTTGCATTCAGCTGCTCTTCCCAGTTCTGATGCTTGGTTTGAGCTTTCTTAAGGTCATCTTCATCAAATCCACATGCCCAAATGCTCTGAGTTGCTGACATGTGACTGGCTGATTCACCTTTTGGGTTACAAGTGAAAGATCATTCAGATATTGCAAAACACAATGCTGTAATTTTCTTCATTTTTGTTTTATCTTTTATTATCTTGCTTAATCTGAGCTTTGGCTCCGTTTATCTACTCCTGAGAAGATTAATGAACGCCCTAAATTATGGGAATTGGAAATATTCTTTCTCGTTGTGGAAATCATGGATTGTTAATTAGACTAATCACCTTATTATTGTTATCAGGTTGATGTACCTGCAGTAGCTTTTCTGAGGTATATCCGACAAACAGCATAAATTTGAGATCAAAGTGATTAAAATAAAAAAAAAAATAAAGTAATAATTCTGAGCAACAAAAAAATTAAATTGAGCGTTTTTAGGGAAAAAAAAAGTCTGAATTTGTAAAATAGAAAGTCTAAATTATATGATTAAAATCTTAATTCTGATTTTGAAAAGTCATATTTTTGACATGGAAAGTGAACATGGATTAACGTCACAATTCTGAGAAAGAGTCAGACTTTTTCCTCTTCCGTAAATGTATTTCGATTCACTACAGCCCAGAATTTAAAACAGGTGGGTTTTCCATGAATCACTTTTGCATATTATTCCATTTTGAAAGGTAGAAAATAAAACAGTGAAAGACTTTTGTTCTCACTTCTGCTTTTTGTAAACGGCTTATACTCACAACCAAGAAGTTGGAACACAGGAAATTTAGCAGCAATAAATTAAGTGACGTAATTCTACAAAGTTAATAAGTGCTTCAAACATGTGACCCTTTGTAGGCTCAGCTGGAGCAAATCAACCAGCTGTAACCATCCTTGGTAAATGTTTGCTTGCAGATGTAAAGCCTGTAGTGAAGCTGATCCCAAAGCCCAAAGAGCCGCTGCTCCTCCCAAAGCCAGGCGGGGACGGCTGCGTCCACTGCGCCGTGGTGGGAACGGGCGGCATCCTGAACGGCTCGAAGATGGGCACCGAGATTGATGCTCACGACTATGTGTTTCGGTAGGAAAACAAACCATTTGGTGGAGTCTTCTTTGGAGTCATTTTTAAAAAGCAACCACAAAATACCAAAGGATTTGATGGATTATAGTAGAAAGACAAAGCAGGAATGTTTGCACCTGGTGTGTGATTTACACTGTCCAAACTGTAAAATGTGTGACCAATAAAAAATAGATTTTGCTGTCTTAAAATCATTACATCCGTCTAATTTAGTCAACATTAATTATGCTGACAGCATTTCAGTATCAAGGAACATTTACAAATATAATACTGTCTCTTCTACGTTTATTTCATTTTATTTAATCAGCAATAAAACATAAAACAATGTTTTATGTCTTGTTCATAGGACCTTTAACTGAATGCTTCCTTTATATGGAAGCCCTGAAGGGTAAGAAAGAAAACAAATTATTTTGAGAGAAGCTTTTTTTAAGACCCATTTTCTAAAGCTGACTAAATTTTATTTTTATCTTGGCTTTAAAAGAAATGTCCAAGTAAGAAACAATATAGGTTAATATATTTTAAAGTTTGTTTTTTTTCTCTCTCTTTGTGGAATATTTTGCCATTCAGGGCTTCCATACCTGTAAAATATTAGGGGATAGAAAGTTATACTTTACTGTGCTACTAAAGAAATTTATCTGGAGCTACAGCCTCTGCATAACATGTGTAAAAGTTCTGCATTATGTTAATTAAATATTCAAACAGAAACGCTAAAAGGTTTAATTTGATTTCATATGCAGTGTAGACTAAAAATATGAGTTGTGGTAAATACATAGATACATCTAGAAGTGTTTTGTCATTTTTGTTTTCACTTGAACAATTTTTTTTAGATGGTTTCAATTACAAATTACAGTAACATTGATAATTCCTATTTGCATAAAAAATGTTGAAGCTGTGTTTCATTTGTGCGACAGGATGAATGGTGCGGTGATCAACGGCTACGAGGAAGACGTAGGAACAAAAACGTCGGTTTATGTTCACACCGCTCATTCAATCACAGCATCCCTTGAATTTTTTAAGGAGTACGGATACAAATCTGCCCCGCATGACGAAGTATTAAAATGACACAGAAACCATCATAACAGGTAGATTAGAAACACTTTTCTCACAGTGTTTCTTCCTTACAGGGAATAAAGTATGTCCTGATTCCTGAGGGTTTGAGGGATTTCCAGTGGCTGCAGGGTCTTCTCAAAGGAGAGAAAGTTTCCTCCGGTGAATACCAAGATCAAGAGTGAGTGCAGTTTGTGTGCTTAATGTTGAGGTTTATTATTTCTATACTTGTCACAATCTAATTTTAGTAGAAATGGAACAAGGGATTTTTATGATCACATCTCTTCTTCAACAACATGTACAGCTCTGTACAAAATTAAGACGACCACTTACAATGATCAGTTTCTCTGATTTTCCTTTTTATAGGTATATGTTTGAGGAAAATGAACATTGTTCTTTTATTCTATAAACTACTGACAACATGTCTCAATCCAAGCAAAAATGTAGTATTTATTAGCAGAAAATGAGAAACTGTCAAAATAACAAAAAAGACACAGAGCTTTCAGACCTCAAATAATGCAAAGAAATTCATTCATATTCATTTAGAAACAACAATAATAATGTTTTAACTCAGGAAGAGTTCAGAAATTAATATTTGGTGGAATAACCAGGAGGTTTTCAATGGGGTTCAGTGCAGTGGACTCTTCATTTTTTCCACAGCTATATTTTCTGGCTTTAAGCTTTAAATTTTGCATCTCTATGGTAATAATTATCTGCAAAATTGCTCCTAAAATCATATATGATTAAAACTCAGAAAGGATTGATAGTTCCGGGAGGATTATGATCCCAAACACACATCAGAACTGATTGTGGAACGGTTAAAGCAAACACTGAGCTGGTGGATTTATGCTGAAAGTCTAAACTGTGTAAGCCCCAAAGAGAATATTAGGAGGAATATGTGGAGTCGTTTATGGTTTTGCTGTCTTTGTGAGCAAACATTTTGACAGAGTTCATCTTCTTCTTCCAAAATAACCAATGCCTGTCTTTCTCCCTCCAGACCCAGGGCTTATTACTCAGGACAGTTCAGTGAGGATCGCTTCTACGTTCTGCACCAGGACTTCCTGCGATACGTTCGAAACAGGTCAGTGTTTGAACCAAGGTCCGATACTATCCTGCTAAAAATCTGTGTTAAAAGCTGTTTGAATGCTGTTGGTTCTTTTTACCTCTAAACAAGTCCACTTTCAGTCAAATTAAATCAGTAAATACAGTATTTTCCAGACTAGAGAGTGCACCTTACTATATAAGCCGCACCTATAACGTTAAAAAAGCTGCATCATATGAACTTCTTCGTGTGGTTTCCATGATGAGGGGGTTTGAGTTTGGAAACATTTCTCCGTCATGCCTGCTGCTAGCATGCGCTTTTTCTAAAATTAGCACTTTCTTCTTTGATTTACAATTTTGACTTCCAACGATTCACTTCCTGCTAAAGAGCCCCCTGGCGGTTGAAGAAAAATCCACAGAAAAGCCGCACCGCGCTATGAGCTGCATGGTTCAAAGCGTGGGGGAAAAGTAGACGTATTGTCCGAAAAATATGGTAATTCTGAATTATGACGAAGGATCAAAAAGAAGAAAAAACTATTTCACCGTTTTAAAGGAGGACACATTTCAATGAACAACAGCTGTAATTAGATAAATTAGATCTGAATAACATGTAACTGACTTTGAATCTATGTTGTTGGATTAAATCAACTTTAGTCATTCTCTTTTGGAAAGTGACACTTGTATTGTGAATTGGTTTCATATAATAATTAATTGCATAGATTACGCATCCCATCAGGCTAACATTTTCACTGCCAACAGGTATCTAAGTTCAAATGACCTTAGTGGAGATTACTGGGCAATTGTCCGACCAACCAACGGGGCGTTTACTCTCTTTGTGGCTCTGCACACATGCGACACGGTAAGTTGGTCATAAGTAAGGAATATTTAAACTGTATATTTTGTGCAATGCTTTTTGTCTTTATGTTTTTGTCATTCTTAGTATGTAATAGTGATGGTTTAGGTTAACTTTCATTTGAAATTCAGTTTTTATTTTTGAAAAGCTCACTTCCTGTTTAAGCCGCAGCCTTCAGAAAGACTGAAGAAACGTGGATCAATGCAGCTTTTGACCGAGACTGTGTCGTTTTATTGAAAAGAAGAAAAGTTCATTGTGACAAGTGATTCTGAATCTTCAGTTTTGGATTTTTTTCTTTTTTTCTTAAAGATTTCTTAGTTAACTAACAGTATTTCCAAATCAACAAACCTGATTATAATTTGTTGGACTCTACGTTAAGTTAATCTCTTTCTTATGCTCTAAAAGTGTATCAAAATCCAAAATAAGCAGTTTTTTTTTGTTTTGTTTTGTTGGGGGTTTTTTTTTGCTTAAAACTAATACTATGTATTATCTTTGCTCTCCACAGGTGAGTGCATATGGATTTATGACAGAAGACTACAGTAAATACTCAAACTATTATGCGGAGAAGCTTTTGAGCGAAGTAACTTTCTACATCAACCACGATCTCATTCTGGAGAAGAATCTGTGGAAAAGCTTTCATGACAAAAAAATACTGAAGCTGTATCAAAGAACTGGGTCAGAAAAGCAAACGGATTCCTGATTCAGTGTCAGGAGTCAAGAAGACCTGAAAAAATATGACGGTTTATTATTTTTACTACTGTACTTTAACCCTAAGCTTATTTAAATGAGCTCTGTGTACACAAGTGGGAGAAAGACTTGTGTAAATATTTGTTGTAAAATAATGTCCTACATGTGGACTGTATTGAGGCATATCAGGTGCTGAAATGAAGAATATTTGTACATTTATTTATAGATATATTATTGTTTTTGTAGTAATAATCTGCATTTTGCGTTGGTGACATATCTTTGCAATGTGGTAGCTGTAGCAATGTTTTAGTTTTAAAAAAGCACTCTAACAGATTAACACCGTCAAGAAAACAAACATTTTTAAAATAAATACATAAAACCAAAAATAATTTTAATGAACTTTTGTTTATCTATGTAGCTTGTAATTAGCAGGGGAAACTTAGAACTACATTTTGTGGAAGAAAACGGCTAATATACTGTGAATAGTGTGACATCAGTGTTGATTGTATGTTATTATATTTTTCTGTTTGTTTTTATTTGTTAATCACTTTTGAAATAAACTAATACAGTAAACTAAATAAACCTGTTCCATTTCTTTCTAGGGAACAACTTCTTGTAGGGTCGGATTTAGTTATTGTATTAATTATTTAATTATATGCTTAGTTACAAGAAGACTGGCACATATTTAAAAACATATAATAAACATATATTATAATACACAGCTCATTCATTACATGCTTCTATATTTAAGAGGTTTCAGTATAAAAGTGATGGTCTATAATGCTGCTGCCATTAACTAAATAAATAAATAAAAAGCTGAACTTTTAACATAATGAACAGATTTCTGCTCACCAAATGTATTGATTAATACTTTAAATTAGTTTTATTGTTTTTTTTTTACATTGGTTAGTGCTTTTGTTGTAATTCTGCAGCACTTTGACATTTATATGTAAAGTGAAATATTGCATTATTTGTTTCTGACTGAATTTCATTATTTTAATGCTCCTTTCATGTTGTTTGCTGGATTCTTGGGTATTTCAAGACATAACTTTGAATTTTTAAATAATATACAAAAAACGTCCAATTAACAGAAATCTCACGCCACCTATCCTACGTTGAAGACCTCTACATGTCAGGTAATGAAAGCCTTTTCAACGCCTCAGACGCGCTAAGCAGGAAGCTGATGCTCATCTTTTAAATTTAAACTCAGGATTTTGTTGTTATCCAACTTTGCACAACAAAATTCCGCGTGGTAACAATTTTAATAAAAACAAATCACTAAATTATGTTAAAATACAGAAAATCAGTCGCAATAAATACACCAGCAGCATTTCCAGAGTTTATTTCTGCTTCGCACTGCACATGTTGATGTTGAACACACAGCACCACCTTGTGGTTAAACTGCGCAAGATCCTTGCTCTCCACCAATATGGCTGTTCTCTCGGTTTACTCGGGTCATTCAAGCTGTAATCGAAGCGCGGAGTCCCAATAATATGTATTGATGAGATTCATATATCATGGATAAACATCTGTAAAGATTTGGGAAGAAATTCAGAAAGTAGGATTCACTATTGCTCAGGATTCACTTTTCCACCAAATCCATGACTTTATTTTCATTTTTAAATTTGTTTTATTTGTCTCTCACAGCTGCAAGGCTGGAAACAGAAAGAATGAAGCTCATGCAGCAAAAGTCTAAAGGTCGATGATTAAGTCTCAACGACCACAACAGCCTCCACACACCAGGTGGCCACTCCGCCTGTTAGAAATCCAAACAAACAGTTTGTTCTCGCCTTTGTGAAGCTGTGCAATGAACAAACAAAAGAACATGGTTTGTATTTATTTATTTAAAAATCTCCCAGATTTTTCAAGTTTCTATTTAAATTTAATTTTATATACAGTAATTTATATTGCCCTTATTTATTTATTTCTATATATACATTACATGCACAACACTGCTTCCTATTTATCATGTAATTTGATGGCTTCATTTGCTGCAAGTTGCTAGTGTAGTTGCTCATTAAACCGTAATTAGTAGCTTTTAGTGGATGCTTACTTTTAAATAATGCCACCTGTTGCTTAAAAGGACAAATAAATCAGCACTCCTGCAAATGCAAAAAATAAAAATGCAAAATTATAAGTGTAGCCATATCATAAACTTGTACCTCATGGCTGCATGATCAGGAGCAGGTGATCAAAAAGGAGGGAGAGAGAGAGAGAGAGATTGCTGATTGACTACAGGACCAATCGATTGGTTTGCCTGTTTGCATTAGTTTGCATTTATATTCTTGCTCTCTCAAAAACCTCATTTGAATTCTGTGTTTCATAGATTCACACACCTGCACAAAACAGGTTTTGCAAGGTGGCTTTTCAAAACCATCATGAAAGAAGGACTGTTTTATTACTTGCTCTTTTCTTCAGTTTTCTCTTTGTGAAATTATAAAATCTTACTGGCAGTGATTTTATGGATTTATTGCAAATGGCCTATAGTCGCTACACCCTGCTGTAGCCCTGCCCTACCCAGCCCTCTCTCTCTCTGTGTGTAATATAGACATCAGGTTGCCTAAGTTTGACTGGGTGACTTTTCTTGCATTACTGGTCTGACATAGTTATAAGTCATGATTCTGCTTTTTTTCCGGTCATAAGCTGCAGCGTATCATGTCAGCTTCAACCAGGACTCTGTACAGCACCTCCCAAAAGTCGACTTTGGTGTTTAGCTGAGCAGCAAAAAAAAAAAAAAAAAAAAGAAAATCCTCCACTTTTCAGCAATGATGATGGGTCGATCGCTTAAACTTTGGTCTTTGGTGCTGGTGATATCGGCCACTATTATCTTTTTTATTATGTTCTTGGAAAACTCAGCAAGAGAAATAACGTAAGTGCTTTTGAAATTTCTATAACAAGAGATTACAACAGTTTTACGTTTAATTAGATCACAGTTTTGGTTTGTCTTGATGATTAATATTTTTTTTAGTTTAAACTACAGCTGGATTTCCATGTCAGGAATGTACAAAGTGAGCGGAGAAGACAAGCTGCTACGCGCCGGTGAATTATTGCAAAAGAAGGGAGAGTTGGCTACAACAAATACAACAGCGCTGACATCTGATCCAGTTATTACCGCTTCTTCTGAAACTCCTATTCCTATGATTTTGAAAAAGTTTTTCAAGAAACTTCCTCAGTGGAGCTTTGAGGATATTTACAACTTGGACGCGCCACCTAGACCTATGGTAAGCATTTTAAGATAAGATAAAATCATAAATATGTCATTTATTGTTGCCAGCAGTTCAGCTTGGACTTATTTTTACTTGTTTGCCTTTGGTGTGGATTTATCACTAAATGTCTGACATCTTTGTGTGCTTAGCTGTCTTCTGATCAAACTACAGAATCCTATAGTCTTGTGTCATAAATCTTTTAGATCAGTTTTAACTTCGATAGCAATTTTTAAAAATGAAAATTAGGAATCCTTGCTTTTTGTTACAAACAGATTCAAGGTTTTACAAATGATTTTTTTAAGAATCTTTTCATTCATTCAAGAAAATTGTATTTTTTTGTGTTTCTTATTTTAGTGCATTTAACGCTTTCCCCTTTTGAATATATTACAATATACCAAAACTGCCGTGAATCTAAAACTTATTTTAGAAGATCTCAGGTTAATGACAAATTATTTACCTGAGATCTGATCAGTGTAAGATTATTTTATTCTGCACCAGAGAGGATCAAATGCAGTCGTAAAAAGGTTGGGACACTTCAACATCACCTGAACAGATGATTTCTAGATGATGTCGCATGTTTTCCGTGGAAAACAGAAACCAAAGTCATTTTTCAACATATCATTGGGTGAATATATTTATGCAAAAGTAATATTTAGTGTCCAAATATCACATGTACGATTTAACCAAAAATTATTCATATCCCTGGCAGATTTAGATTTCAAGTACCGGTATTTTTTATTAAATTAGTAAGTTTACTTCTGACTGTAAATGAGACATGAGTCTCTTAAAATGTAATAAAGTACTATAAAAGGAGTATCAACTTGAGGACATTTTTTTTATCTAGATTTATTCAAATTTTCATTAGAAAAATGCTAAATTGAAAACTATTTATACTCATAATTAATCACTGAAAAAAAACTTTATTGCGATTACAGCAATTAAAGCCTTCTTTTAATTTTTTTTTCATACTTAAAGTAAAAAAAATACACATTTTTATTTTACCTACTAATTTTGATATGTCTTTGGCTAAAATTAAGCTGTTTTTAATAACAACACAGTATTTTCTCATGCTGTTGATTTGATGGTACTCTACAGTTTATTGTTAGTTCTGTTTTGTGTAATTCTACATGCTGTGACTTGCCTGTCACTTTGCTACTGTTACGCCTGAATTTTATTCTTTACATAATTAATTGCTTGTTTAAAGTGCCTCTCATTTCCAGTGGAAAGTTTCTTGGCTCTTTTAAATTTTTTTCTCTCCCATTTTCAACTTCCAGCCCTTAAAACTTTTGGTGACCATCACTTAAAACATCTAGTACCCGTCTTACATCAAAATAATTGTCGAAATCTTATTCACCTTCACTTCCAGAACTTATAATGATCCTTTTCCTGGCAACTGGGTCCCACTTCACTTTGACAAACACAACATGTCATTGCAATGTTGTGAAATCTTGTGCCTGAATATCACATCATCTCACCTGTGTGAATTTTCAGTCTTAGTTTTGCTTTATCTCGATGTTTTCTCTGGTCAGACTTGTCCACAGTCTCTGCGTAACTCCAAGGACGAGGATTTCCAGAAAGCTTTCCTTCCCAACATACGCATGTTTCTGCACAAAGACAACTTCAACATCAGAGAGTGGAACCGGCTCTCACATTTTAATAATCCCTTTGGTTTTATGCAAATGAAGCATGATGGTACGTATTTTCTTACACATAGTAACTGAGAGCTACTTCTACTAGGATAGTTGTACAGCTCAAAAAATGTGAATGTTTTTTGATATAATATATGGTCATTTTATAGAGATTCGTTACATAATGAGTGTAATATTTCAAGCTTTTATGTTTTGCAATTTTAATGATAAAGGCTTTCGGATAAAGAAAACTCAAAATTGGGTGTCTAAGAAAATTAGACTAATCAAAAATGGATGTTTGCAGTATTTCGCCCATATCATCTTTCAATTAGATTATTACATCTTTACAATGTAGAAACAAATACTTGTGTAAAAGAAAACTGAAAATAAGTGTAAATATGAAGAATCTCAAGGTCTTAAGTTACAATCTACTAAAATATTTTAATATCACAAAAAAAACTATGGTTGTAACTGAAATTCATTGAAATTTTTTATTTGCAGATGTAATGCCTGTAGTGAAGCTGATCTCAAAGCCCAAAGAGCCGCTGCTCCTCCCAAAGCCAGGCGGGGACGGCTGCGTCCACTGTGCCGTGGTGGGAACGGGCGGCATCCTGAACGGCTCGAAGATGGGCGCCGAGATTGATGCTCACGACTACGTGTTTCGGTAGGAAAACAAACGAGAAAAGACCTGTTGGTTGATTCAGCTGAGCAGCTCAGTGAATGTAAGGCATGCAAATTACTGGCTGGTTAAACCGGGTGGATGCAGCAGTGTAGGTTTTCACAGTCTGTCGCACCTTCAAAGATTTAATGGACAAAAGTTATGCAAATAGGTCACGAATTACATAATAATTTAGCAAAGTATCTTTTTTTCACTGTTACTTTTAAGAAGGAAGCTGTTCTGCACTCATCTTACCGTGTGAACTCAAAGACCTTTTATCTGCAGAATGAAAACACTGTTTCAGTTCTAGGATGGGACACAGAATTCATTTTATTTTTACAAAGATTATTTAAATCCATTATCAACTATATAGAACAGCACTCCACGGATGTCACAGAGTAATTTCTTTAATAAACATAGGCAAAAAAAAAAAAAACATGGAATGTATAGCAAATATTGCAAAAGTATTTATGCCGCTTGAAATTTTCAAGATATTGTGATTTACTTAAAACCACAAACCTCACCATGGCTCACATGTGATAGATCAATGCAAACAGATTATTGTACAAATGAAGGAAAATGATAAATGTGACATGAATTTAGATTTCACATGCTTTACTCTGATATTTCAAAACAAAGTTCAGGGTAAGACATTTCCTCATGATTATTAAATAAAGTCCACCTGTGGGTAACTTAATATCACCATTGTCTAAGTGTGAAGCAGTGACAGCCAAAATATGAGGAATAATTGTTTTAATGAAATAAAGAAAGAACTTGCAAATGAAACATGCAGGTAAAAATGACAAGGAAAACAAAAAATGAATGCAAAAAGTCAATGAAAAGGGACAAAAGAGCAACAAAAGAATCGAGAAGGGAATGAATAAAATCTAGTAACTTTTATCTGATAACTGGATCAGAAACGGTTGGCTGGTTAGAAACCGGGTGCAACTGAGAGAGGAGACCAGTGAGGCAGGTTGAGCGAGAGAGAAATGGCAGCAAATCCAGACGTAAACAGTGGCTAAAAATTATAATTATGAAGTTATAATTATTATTTGATTTGTTGATCACTGAAGTGCATCATATCACATAATCAATCCATCAATAAATCTGATTAATTGTTTCAGCTCTATTCAAAATGAAAATTCAGGTGGAAATGATTGATTTAATGATTTAATTTAAGTGTATCGGAGAAAATGGTATTTACAATAAATTCATACATGTTTTTAGAGTTTTATAAAGTGTTAAACGTTGTATGATTTTGCAGCCATTTCACAATGATGAAGTATGTTGTTCTGAGTTTCAATTAAAATCATTTAAAGTCACAAAATGCTTAAGTATTTAAGAGGCTATGAATACTTTAACAAAGCACTTGGTAAAATCTTTGACAACAGTTGAAAACTTACAAAAAAAAAACATGGAAAAACATAAAAAGATTTAACATTTGTTGAAGCAGACAGAATTACTGAATCTATTACAGTTATATAACATTTTTTGCAAATGATCAGCATAAACATTTACATCTGGATTGTGAAATAAATCTGAAACCAAAGCCTGTAAACAGTAGCCGCCTCCTCAGTTGCTCTGGTAGTTATCAGAGCAAGGTGCCACATTGATATTAAGCCATTAATATTTCCACACATTTGATTTTATCAAATCACAAGGAGTGTCTTTAGCTCAACATGAGCACATCATAAAAGCGTTGCTTCATTTATGAGCAAACTATAAATTAATAAAACAGTGATTGTAAATTTACCCACGCATGTGGAGCTTTTATAGTTCTCATAATGTTTCAGAAGTTTTTGGTTCACTGCGGAGAACAAAAAGGTGAAATACGAGTTTTGTCTTTCTGGGTAAACAGAACAAACCTAAACACTAAAGTTTTGCTGTTGCAACTATAAACCAATGCGTCTTTTTATTTTTCTTTCTTGCATTAATAGCAAAACAAAAAAACACTGCAGTAGCAGACTTTTTTGTTTAAATTTATCTAAGAAAGAAAAGTTTCCATTACGCACTTTATTCTTGTTTTTTGTACTGTTACTTCACAAAATAAAACAGGAACAAATCTTACATTTTTCAAGTGCAACTTACCAAAATTAATAAATAAAATGACTCGTTTAAACCAATCCATCAGCTTTTTTTTTTACTAACACTTGGGAATTTGTCAGACTTTGACCACCTGGCAGTATTCCAGTGGACAGCTCTAGATTTAATTTCTTAGCCAGCTTTAATTTCAAATGATAATTTATGTGACAGGATGAACGCCGCGGTGGTTGACGGTTATGAGGAAGACGTCGGAAACAGAACATCAGTTTATGTTCACACTGCTCACTCCATTACAGCATCCCCTATTTTTTACCGCAAGTTTGGATACAAGGCTGCTCCGCATGATGAGGTATTAAACTAACAATTTATGTAATATTGTGTTTATATTCTATAAAAAAAAATAAAAATGACTTTGTCCTGCTTTTTCTTCTGACAGGGTATAAAATACGTCCTGATTCCTGAGGGCTTGAGGGACTTCCAGTGGCTCAACGCCGTCATCAAAGGAGAAAGAGTCGCTGAAGGGGAATATCGTAACAGGAAGTAAGCATCAGATTTTACACATTATTATTATTATTATTATTATTATTATTATTATTATTATTATTAGTGAAATTTTCTGTATATTTGTATGGGAGTGAAAAACTTGGGTATCTGATACGTATACGATTCAGATGCGACCTAACGTCCAGGTGGAATTCATCTGATCTGAACGTCACTGTTACTCGACATACGTCACTATTCTGCGTCCTGATACGCTCAAGCGGGAAGAAAAACAACAACCATGGTGGTTATTGTTAAGTTGTTGCTACTTCGGTCGGATAACAACTTCAAATGTGTAAGTTATGCTCCACGTTAGCATCCATGTTTACTTCCGCAAACACTGAGCACTTCTTCTTCTTCTTGAGGCGGTTGGGAAACCTGAGAACGCTGGCGCTATTGCGCCCTCTACCGCGCATGCGGGACACTTTCAGGTCGTTTGCCCGTTCACACTGCAGAACGCATACAGGTCGCCTTTATTTTGGAAGTGTGAACGGCAACGACAAAAAAAAAAAAATCCGATTTGACGAAAAATAGGATTTAGGTCATTTCAAGCTGCAGGGTGATTTCCTGCTTCAAGAACCGTGGTTTGATCAGGGGTCATAGGTCAATTGACCCAATCATTGATGGATCATGGGTTTAATGGAAAATACACTATTAAATTATAATATCCATGATATATTATCATTTTTATTTTTTTTCCTCCATAATTTACCATAAATTACCACAAAAGTATTATTTGAGTGCAAACACAGCGGATGCGCGCAACTTGACTGCAAAAAGAGCCAGCTGTTACCATTTGCCATGGTTACTCACATTTATCTTGCTGTTTTAACATTATCCTGCATGTTGTCGGCTCCTACAACTGTTTATCACGGCATGATAAGTTGTGCTACAAAATTGACATTAGTGAACGAGTCATAAGCAGCTGAGTGGATATATGACGAGAAAAAATGCCCCAAACGTCAATGGCCGCTAGATATCACTTGCTTGGAATATTAAAGCAATTTTATTCACGGTACAATCATCAGCACGATCCATGGTGAGAGAGTTTTTTCTAAAACTTAAAATTTTTGTAGAAAAAAAAACTAATTCATATTTATCGTACAAAGGGCAAATGAAATATAATTTCTCCCTATTTTGGTCACAATTAGCGGAAAAATTAACATGTATTTGTAGCCACTAAGGCAGTTGGTAAACTAAGCCATCAGAAATTCAAAGTACAGCAGGTTTGAACGGGAGGCAGTGTGAGATACAGAGATGCTGTACTACAAATAAAACCTCTGATGCAGAGCTGCGTGTGCGAGTTTCCCCGGGTGAAGAGAGGTGATCTGCGGTGGCTGCGAGTCGTAAATTACGTCATCAGCCTAACTGTAAATGGTTTAAATAGAAGAATGTATTGTCGCTTGCTTTCTGCAGACGGCATCCACAGTACAGCGGGTGTTGACGTAGCATGACTGGTAATCCCTTTACATGACACACAGGATGAAATATGTGTCTCCCCAAACTGGCAAATGCACCCAAAAAACAGAGCGCAAGCTCCAGTTTCTGGCAGAAGTGAATAGATGGGTGGAGGTAGTGTGTGTGAACATTCACTCTGTGGAAAAAATAAATATACTGTTGTGAATGTTTTTTTAACACTCCTCAGGGTATTTGGCAGGAATGTGATGCCATACTTGGGGATTAAAAGCAGCAAAAAAGGAGTTTTTCATAATCCTGGCACTTTAGAAACCGTTTCAACCCATACAAGTTTGAAAAGAAAATATTTATCTTTGTTTTATATTGTCTTTTATTGTTTTACCTTTCAGCGCCAGGACCTACTATTCAGGCCAGTACAATGAGACCCGGTTTTATGTCCTGCACCAGGACTTTCTGCGATACGTACGAAACAGGTCAGTGTTTCCAAACATCCTGTAAATTCACTTCTCTTTTCTACAATAAACATGAATTTTAGCTTTTTCTCACCTAAAGATTCAGTAAGATGAACTAGAACTGTTTTATTGGATTTGGACTCCATATCCAACAAAACAAATGATATTTAGAGATTTTTTTGGGGTGTTAGCTGCGTTAAATCAAAATGTATCCAACTTTATGTTGTCGTTCCCAGCGCGTAGCTTATAGTGTTGTTTCTCAACCCTTTCTCTTTGCCCACAGGTTTTTAAAATCAGGCAATCTTAATCGGGGCTACTGGGCCATCGTCCGACCAACCAATGGGGCATTTGCTATTTTTACGGCTCTGCATGTTTGTGACACAGTAGGTTTATTTTTATCATAAAAAAATAAATCATATTGTAAAAGAGGTGCAGCCATTGTAGGTGTGTACTTCTGAAAAACTTTTGCTTTTACCGGTTCACTTTGACCTTGTCAGGTTATTAATGACCATGGAAAGAAATGTTTCACTGCTTCTGAAGAATCTGAAAGGCATGTTATCAAATCATATAATTATCTCGTCTACAAGGACAATGTTGTGTTTCTGCTTTGCATTTCAGTAGCATAGGAATGTGTGCATCTTTGAGTTACATAAATATTTAATAAAGTGGCGATTTTTTTTTTTTTTACATTTTGCAAAACACCAAATTTGCACGCGTTTTATCATCACAATAAATTATTTTGCAGTATTAAGACAGGAAGTAGTTTATTATTTATTTGTTTTATGCCTGTTCTGTCATCCCCAGGTGAGTGCGTACGGATTCATGACTGATGACTACAGTAAATACTCCAACTACTACTTTCAAAAGTACCTGAAAACCAATGTAGTTTTCTACGCCAATCATGACTACATTATGGAGAAGAATTTGTGGAAGAGCTTCCATGAAAGAAAAATAATGAAGCTGTTTCAAAAGGCTAAACCACAGGAAAAGACAGAAAAGCAGCCACCGCCCTGACACTCTGAAAACGAGTCAAACCGTTTGCCGTCCTGATCAGCAATATTTAAAACCGGCTAATTCTGCTGCATAATGAGCACTTTAAGAACATTTTAGTGACTTATGCTGCTGCACTTGAAGAGCCATAGTTTTATATTTAAAATAAATCTGAAGGGTACATACAGAGAAGACTTGCTGTAAAGGAACAGACACTGTGCAATTAGATGGAAGATTTTGTGTTTGTATACATCAGGCTAAAACTTTCAGGGAATCCAATTTTCTCAATTTTACAGCCATTTATTGAATGATATTTTTTTTTTAGCTTTGATGTTTTTCAACTGTTTTAGGGCAATTTTGATGTGCTGAATGCAAAAATTGCGTTGGTTTTGCTCAATCAGGTCAACTTTCTGAACTAAGGATGAAACACGAGCATCAGTGTTTATTATTCTATTTCCAGAGATCCAAGTTTGTAACATTTAATTAATACACTCTGTTAGAAAACGATTTTTTTCTTCTAAAACCTTTTTGGATGAGAAATAGAAATGAACTGAGAATGTCTCAAAAATTTAATCAATTTAGTCAGAAGATTGGATTTCTCTGAATCAAATTAGAATAAAAACCTGACTTGATTGAAAAAAAGATCATTTTTTAATTCAGCTGTGCAAAATAGTCCTAATTCAGTTGAAAAAACAAAGACAACTTACCCAGTGTAATTTATAAAAAAACAGCAAGTGAAAAAAACAAGTGATCCAAAGCCATTGGATAAACTGTAAAAAATACAGTTTATTAATAATTTTGTAAGATTAATTATTCATAATAATTGTAAGTAGTTTTCACAAGCTCATCATCCTCCACCACCGTCAGTTTGTTGCCGATGAACAATTGTAGAAAAATCCACAAATTAAGCACAAAGCAACTAATTGTAAATAGACTATTTTATTAATTTCCTTTTATATTTAACAAAATAAAAATTATTCTCCACAGTCCTACAAATGAGCCGATTAAGCAGAACCCTAAACTAGAACTTTAAGTGGCCATAACGGGAGACAGGCCATCTGCGCGCCTCACCATCCCCGCAAATGACTGGTTTGTTTGCGGCCTTTGAAATGCATCAGAGTTTGACAGATTCCTCAGAACTGATCGTGAATAACAGTCTGTACCCTATTAATATGAATAAACACGGTCAATGCAAATAAACACAGAAAAAAAGAAATGACCTCATGAAGATTTTAATAAGCTTAGTTGTCTTCGAAGTAGTTTTTGAAAAACCAAGAAAAACCTTTTCTTTCTTGTCGTCAGCAGCTCCCCCTGGTATTCAACCTGCTTTGCTAACAGACTTGTAGCCAAATAGAGACTGGAGATTAATGCATTTTTACTGTATTGGCACAAATGGAAAAAAAATCATCTCAAATCGGAGTTTTACTCTTTTCTGTTTGTGCAAAATTTATATTTTCACGAATAATCCAATTTGTCCATTTATGAATCTTTTGTGCATGTGGCTTTCTGCACGACTCTAAATGTATGCAAAAATAATTAGGCAAAAACCTTCATTTGTTTTGAAGATAAAACTTCTCCTTAATATTAATATATTTTGGCAACACAAACATTTCCCTCTTACAGCTGAATGTTTTTAAAACTGTGTGAGCTATCTCAGCACTGAATATCTCTTGGCAATTTTTTTTTTTACATTTTTAAAAAATTTCCCTTCTATTCACATCCGAGGAAAACTGTCAAGCCTTTTATCTTAAATCCAGTTTTAAGAGATTGTTCTGAATTGTTTCTCCTGATATTTTCTGGTTTATAACTTTTTTTTTTTTACTTTTAAAGGTGTATATTTTTCCTCTCTTAGCCTTATCTATGTATTCAAGAATATGGAACAATTACTTTTGTTTTTATTTAACCATGGTTATGAATTTTATTTTCTGTGGACTGTCAGGTTTATATAACACTAGGTTGTCAAATAAATTGTAATGCATTCAGTAGTTTCTTTATTGGAGTCGTAATTTCATAATCAAAGGTCATTTAGTTTGTCATGTTTGTGTAAGAGATGTTTAAGTGTTTGAATAGTTTAACAACAGATGAACTCCCTGATCATAAAGTTAAAAAGCCTCTCCTTTCTCTCTGCCTTCAACCAGATAGTTCATGAGAAGAACAAATAAAAATAAAAGGGAGTGTTTGCAAACCTGCCAGCTAGAACAAAAGTTTTACTGGAAATTAAAACGGAAAAGAAACTAAAGCCCATGGCCTTTTTTTTTTTTTTGTCAGGACAGAATGACTAAATGTTCTGTTGTGAACTTTTCATACGTCGGTATTTTAAATAAATACGGTTTGTTTACAGCTTTTAATAATAGTGTTTTTTTTTATTATAATCTAAGTTGTTTAAAGTTAAATATGAAGAAGTCAAGAAGTGGTTTCCACAATGGCAATTTACAAACTTGGTGTAAATCAGATTTACACCAAGTTGCAACAGAATTGGATCAATACCAGATCAGTACTTCAGTTTCAGATTCCCTCTTAAAATTTAGTTTTATTTTTGTGTTGAAGTTTTTCGGCTCAACAAAAAGATTTAGTTTTGCTCTGAAATAGTAACATTTTGCACTTAGTTTATTAAGGAAAAAATTTACATTTGTTTTGTTTTTTTATTGTTTCTGTTTATTTGTTTACTCTTAATAAACAGATTCATAAGCTTGTCCAAAATATTGAAAGGAGGGGAAAAACACAAATTTTCCTAACAGTCAGAAGTTTGATGATATATCAAATTTAAATAATAAAAAGTATTGGCATTGGTACTGTCCCACCATTTACTTGGCATCTGATCAATACCAAAATACATCGCACACAAAATTAAAGGGTTAACTTTCAAATACTTCAATAATTAATAAGGTTCAATCAGAATGAAAACATTTGCACTTCTTTTTTTTTACTGATTTTTTTAAACAGCCTTCCGTTTCAAATAATATCTGACTCAAATTTAGCTGTGAATGTTTTTATTTTGAGTATTTGAATGTCATTTTTAATGTGTTCTTCTTTGATTTGACTCATTAATAATTGATCTCAGAACATATTTTAACTTTGGTTCCAGTTAATTGCATGCAAACAAATTAATAGGATCATTTATTCTCCTGCATCATGAGCTTTGCCCCTTTATTTGAACATCTTAAAATGTTTTGACCAGTGATTGATCTGTACTTGAGTTCCTGATCACCATGGTTTCTATATTGCTGTTTTATCTTGAAGATTGATTTATAATTAGCTACAAAGTTCACATTTCAGGAGCTCTGCTACATTTAATGTTTTGACTGGGTAAGTTAAACGTTTATTTTTTAACATTTATAGTCCTACTGTTGGAAGCGTTAGCATCTGATCAGTCGTTTTCTGTCTCTGTTGTTTGTTGTGAATAAAATAACCACCAGTGGGATGAATGCTGCTTTAAGCTTTAGTACTTTGAGGCAGAGTTAGAGTAAAAATGTCAATAATTTAGTCTTTTTGGAAGTATTTAATGTGCCCACTCACTGATTCATGGCTTACGGTATGTGGGAGAAATGTATTTATTTTTCTCCCAGTCCTGAAGGAAACCTGATGTATTATTTTAATTAAGACTTTACTGCTTTCGTTTTCAGACCACCGTTTGGGGTTCGTAGTGTAACGTCCCTCGCTTTTAGCAGGGCCATTGTTGGACTTCTCATTTACAAAACCCTCAATGGCCCTGACCTGTTTTACACAAAAACAAAATTAATCCATCTGTATCAAACCTTTCTCTCACAGTATGTAAATTTGCACCAGCTCCCTTCCTGGGTCTGGGATGAAGATGCTCTTTATGCTTTAAATTTTTACCTGAAACTGTAAATGTTTGCATAGGATTATGTAAATATGAAACTTTAGTTATTATAGACAGAAACTAGTGATCAAACCCAGAGTAGTGATGGACTCAGACTTGAACCTTTAGAGACACATGAAGACAGTTGCAAAGTCGGCCTTCTATCACCTGCAGAACATTTAAGCCTGAAGGATATTTTTAACTTCTAGAGAAAGTTATCCGTGTGTTTTTCTTTGGTTACATTGATTACTGCAACAGCGTCTAGATCAATCGGGCTCCTGCAGATGATCTTCTGAACCAGGTCTTCTGGTTCTGGTCTGCATTGCATCCCCAGAACCAGAACCAAATGAGGAGAAGCAACATTCAGCTTATATGCGACACAAATCTGGAACAAACTTCCAGAAAACTGCAAAACTGCTGAAACACTGAGCTCCTTTAAATAAAAGCTAAAACCCCACCTGTTGCTTTTGATTAATAATAACCAGAACATTGATCTATACATCGGATGTATATTGGATGATTTTGAGGGTGTCATTTGACAAAATATGTTTGCTTGTTTCATGTTATGTTTTTATGGTGTCTTTTAAAGGACTTTGAATTTCCTTGTTGCTGACGTGCAGCACAACTAAACTTGACTTATCCAAAAGCAAATCTCTTTCAACAAATTTACCATCAGATTTTGACTTTGGGTTACATTAAAAAGTACCATCTAAATAAAACTGAATTGTACTAAGTTACCCTGTTACAAATAGTGTTGCAAAACTACGTTTTCACGCCCTCACAGCAGCAGGTTCCTATTCCTTTAAATCCAACATTCATGTGACATCCATGCACACCTCCAAGAATCCGGTTATTCTGCACCACTAATCTAATAAAGGGCAGTGGAACATTGTTTCTGCTGTGACTTTTGAAAAAATACCAAATGTTAATAAAAAAAAACTAGATGTTTCAGTTTTGTTTTACTGCTGCTGTTCAAGTGTTGCAGTCCTACCTGCTTACTTTTGTGTGCGACTTCACTATCTTTGAGCAAATTCTTCACCTGATCTTATGGGAAGTACTTGTCTGACACATCTGCAAGGCGTGTTTTCGTTTCTGACATGTTTAAAGAAGTGTGAGTCCTCCTTCATAAAACATTTACTTATCAGGTGCATCCTTGTCCACATTTTTCACACCTGTTTCTCAGGAATGGCACGTCAAGCAGTCAAGNTCTTAAATCCAGTTTTAAGAGATTGTTCTGAATTGTTTCTCCTGATATTTTCTGGTTTATAACTTTTTTTTTTTTACTTTTAAAGGTGTATATTTTTCCTCTCTTAGCCTTATCTATGTATTCAAGAATATGGAACAATTACTTTTGTTTTTATTTAACCATGGTTATGAATTTTATTTTCTGTGGACTGTCAGGTTTATATAACACTAGGTTGTCAAATAAATTGTAATGCATTCAGTAGTTTCTTTATTGGAGTCGTAATTTCATAATCAAAGGTCATTTAGTTTGTCATGTTTGTGTAAGAGATGTTTAAGTGTTTGAATAGTTTAACAACAGATGAACTCCCTGATCATAAAGTTAAAAAGCCTCTCCTTTCTCTCTGCCTTCAACCAGATAGTTCATGAGAAGAACAAATAAAAATAAAAGGGAGTGT